GAAGTAGAAAGGCAGAGACATGGTTTACGTTACAGCTGTCACGTAGCACAGAGGCCTCTTAGCCTGTATCAAACATGACAGATCTATAGAAAGGCCTTTGCTGGAGGCCAAATGTACAGTGGGTTAGTACACTAGCCATTCACCTTAGAAGCAGAGACTTAAATCCAAGCAAGTGGGAGAAAAACAAAAAAAAAGTGATAAAACAATAGATTTTAGTCCACAACACAAACCCACCACAACTGAGAGTCTGCTCAGGACAGTCCCAGGACTGGAATAGCCAGGGAAGCTGGTAGTCAAAATTGAGGTGTCTTGGCAGAGTTGCCAGGGAAGTGCAGCGCCTGCCCATGCCCTTACTTGACACAAACTAGTGCAATCATTCCTCCCACACCATCCATTTCATAAGCTTCATACTTCACCCATCATTTAAATTGTTTCTTTCAAGAGATCAGAATTAGGTGCTTCAACTTCCTGGATTTTCTAGGTCCCTACAGCTAGCATGGCATCCTGGCTAGGATGGATTCATTCAGTTTCTGAGTTCTGGACAGTGCTGTGCAAATAAGGACCCAGGTGTAATGGAAAGCAGCTAGAGAATGTGTTCCCGATATTGTGATGAGGCATCTGGCACTGAGAAATACGACGCTATTGGCAGAAAACCTGTATTTCCTGAAGTGGGTATTTACTGGGCTTTCATAGACCTGGACACAGACACTCAAACATGGTACATCTCATTCTGTCAGCTGTCCTTGAAAACAGCTGTTCTAATTACTCAGTCTACTACAGAGCCGAGACCCAAGCAGCAGTAACTACAGAACGTCAGAGACCCCACTTGTTAGTTGCAGATTTATTTTTAATACAGCTTGTCCTTTCAGTAGGCAAGTCACAATCCCTGTGCCTCAGTTTCTCCCATCTGTAAAACAGGAGTAATAATAATGACCTATCAAGGCGCTTCATTTATTTACGATTCTCAGATGAGATGTGCTAGAGAAGGGTAGAGGATTCTTAAGAGTTTTATAGAAGTTCCCAACTCAGTGGTCTCGATTATCAATTTCAGACTCTTGATTGATATTTCAGGGGGTTCAATGCCTTCCCATGAACTTGTCACACATTAGTTAAATATGAGGTGATTAGGGCAGGACTGGGGCATCTTTACTGCTGCTGGGAAACCTGGCTCCAATAAGCGGACAAACTAGACTGCAGGCTATCTTGACTATTTGGGTACCCAATCAATTCTATTTTATAATCTGAAGGGGAGGGCTTCAGATTTTTCAACCTTGGCTGACAAGGTCAAAGCTTTTCTCCCATGAAATTGAACCACAATTTACCAGCTTGTGTGCATGTGGGCAAAGGCTGAATTCTCTAGAGCTGGGAACTATTTTCTCCTGCCAGTGAATGAACTATTGGCCTCACTGGTTCTGACCTCTCCTGTTATGGACACAAGACTTGCTTGTGGGCTGTCGTGAAGATCATGCGGTTGGTCAACTACATCCATGCCAGCAAAAGCTGCAGTAACAATGTAATATCGCTGGTGGATTTTCCCTATTTCTATAATCCCTTTAATCTCAAAGCATTTTGCAAATTTAAACTAATATATAAACCATATACAGGGATTATTTCATCTACTGTCAAAATGCACTTAGTATTTAACAATGCTCGGCAACATGACAATAGTTTAGGAACAGAAGTGGAAAAGATCTTATCCATTTGAAACCAGAACAATAATTCAGTACAGTACAAAGGAGCTACCACACTTAGGCCTGGTCCACACTAACCCCTCACTTCGAACTAAGGTACGCAAATTCAGCTACGTTAATAACGTAGCTGAATTCGAAGTACCTTAGTTCGAACTTACCGCGGGTCCAGACGCGGCAGGCAGGCTCCCCCGTCGATGCCGCGTACTCCTCTCGCCGAGCTGGAGTACCGGCGTCGACGGCGAGCACTTCCGGGATCAATTTATCGCGTCTAGACAAGACGCGATAAATCGATCCCAGAAGATCGATTGCTTACGGCCGGACCAGGAAGTAAGTGTAGACCTGCCCTTAGAATTAATCCACGACACCACAGCTGAACACCTACTCTTGAGAAAGTGATCACAACTAGTAAGAACCTTTGTTTTAAGCCTCATTGGGAGGGCAGCACCTTCAGCAGTACAGCACCCCTTTTTCACCATGCTGGGGTGGACTTGGAAGATTCCCTGCCAAGCAACCAACACTACCTTCCTACAGCTCCTAAGCATTCCAGGGGTGTTTCCCATTCCAGTATTGGGCCAAACTCACCTTGCTTATCTTGTGTGACTTGATGGGAATAGATCATAGCACACAATGTTTGTGTTAATAGCTGCAGACAAGAAATCTGAGAAAACATCTTAAAGAAAACATTACAATGGAGTCAGAGATGAGTGTGTGACAACAGACAAACTCCTTGCTTGGGATCATCAGGTAGTCCCCACTTTCTGAAAGTGCCCCTCTTGTTGAGTTGTGACGTCTCAAATGGTTGCCACTATGGGATGGGAGGTGAAGAGGATGCCGGTCTTCAGGCAGAATCAAAGATCAACATGACTAGGAAGTGCTGCATTAGAACTACATGTGCTAACAACAGCCTTCAGCAACAGACTCCCCAAAGCTTCATCTCAGACTTCAGAAAGCAGCAACAGCAAAAGCCTAGAAGGGTTTGCTTGCAAGAGGACATTGAAGTCAATCACATTTCCTGACTTCTAGTCCTGTGCCCTAACCACAAGATCATCATCTCTCTCGCTCTCTTCCCCTCTGTGCAAACATACATTACTGAAATGGCACCAGCATTATGACTAACCCATGGCTTAGTCCTCAACAATAAGTTTAGCCTCACCTGCCCTCCTACCCTCCAACACACCTACTTCTCCACGCAGAGGATGAAAGCACAGAAGAAGGGTGTAACTTGTTAAAGGGAAGGGTGTTTAAACTGTATACATTCGACAAATAATTTATTATTCATGGAGACTGGACCAGCTTAAGCCAGATACCAGAATCTGGGCCCTATGGATAGTAGACCATATTATGCAGCCTTCGCTCTTGGTTAAGGTCCAGCCAACTTACAATGGACATCAAAGATGTGACACACACAGCTGGTTCTCAGTCCCAAAAGGCTCTAGCCCAGGGTGGCCAGCACATCCCTCGGCCCGCGCCGCTTCCCGCAGCCCCCATTGGCCTGGAGCGGTGAACCGCAGCCAGTGGGAGGCGCGATCAGCCGAACCTGCGGACGCGGCAGGTAAACAAACTGGCCCGGACCGCCAGGGGCTTCCCCTGAAGAAGCGGCGG